AAGATTGGTTGATTTATTTCATTTTATATATTTTCATGTATATGGTTGTATATATATTTATTTTTTATATAGGTTTCTTCAAAGAATTGATGGTAAGGTAGCTGCGGAACCATAGCTCTTAGGTCTTTATAATATATCATAATGACCTAATTAAGAGCTACGGTTCCGCACCTAATAGTAAGATCGGTTATTTCATTTTATATATTTTCATGTATATGGTTTGGCTGTGCGGGATATACATATTTGCAGCCACGACTGGTCAGAATGGGGACGTTAAATCTGATGCCTCATGTAAAGAGAGTGCCATGCTCTTTGCACGTTAAGAACCCTTGCAACAACTCTTTGAGGGGTCCCAAGGTGACCTGTTGCAAGGCTAAATTTCAGTCCCTATCCAATATTCCCTCATTTCCCGTGGCAGTTTAAATTTCGCCAACCTTAACCACGGACGCCCCTATTACAGAACCTACCTATTGTATTTATTGTTAATTTGTTCTCGTCCTGAAAATGCATGAAATATTTGCCACTGGACGTTAAGCAACCAACAATCAATCAATCATGTATATGGTTGTGTATATATTTATTTTTTATATAGGTTTCTTCAAAGAACTGATGGTAAGGTATCTGTGGAACCGTAGCTCTTAGGTCTTTATAATATATCATAAGGACCTAATTAAGAGCTATGGTTTGGCACCTAATAGTAAGATTGGTTGATTTATTTCATTTTATATATTTTCATCTATATTGTTGTATATATATTTATTTTTTATATAGGTTTCTTTAAAGAATTGATGGTAAGGTAGCTGCAGAACCATAGCTCTTAGGTCTGTATAATATATCATAAGGACTTAATTAAAAGCTACGGTTCGGCACCTAATAGTAAGATTGGTTGATTTATTTCATTTCATATATTTTCATGTATATGGTTGTATATATATTTATTTTTTATATAGGTTTCTTTAAAGAATTGATGGTAAGGTAGCTGCGGAACCATAGCTCCTAGGTCTTTATAATATATCATAAGGACTTAATTAAAAGCTACGGTTCGGCACCTAATAGTAACATTGGTTGATTTATTTCATTTCATATATTTTCATGTATATGGTTGTATATATATTTATTTTTTATATAGGTTTCTTCAAAGAATTGATGGTAAGGTAGCTGCGGAACCGTAGCTCTTAGAGCTTATTTAAACCTACGGTTCCACACGTAATAGTAAGATTGGTTGATTTATTTCATTTTATATATTTTCATGTATATGGTTGTATATATATTTATTTTTTATATAGGTTTCTTCAAAGAATTGACAGTAAGGTAGCAGCGGAACCATAGCTCTTAGGTCTTTATAATGTATCATAATGACCTAATTAAGAGCTACCATTTGGCACCTAATAGTAAGATTGGTTGATTTATTTCATTTTATATATTTTCATGTATATTATTGTATATATATTTATTTTTTATATAGGTTTCTTCAAAGAATTGATGGTAAGGTAGCTGCAGAACCATAACTCTTAGGTCTTTATAATATATCAAAAGGACCTAATTAAGAGCTATGGTTCCACACCTAATAGTAAGATTGATTTATTTATTTCATTTTATATATTTTCATATATATGCTTGTATATATATTTATTTTTTATATAGGTTTCTCCAAAGAATTATTGGTAAGGTAGCTGCGGAACCTTAGCTCTTAGGTCTTTATGATATATCATAAGGACCTAATTAAGAGCTACAGTTCGGCACCTAAAAGTAAGATTGTTTGATATATTTAATTTGATTTATTTTCATGTATATTGTTGTATATAGTTATTTTTTATATATGTTTCTTCAAAGAATTGATGGTAAGGTAGCTGCGGAACCTTAGCTCTTAGGTCTTTATGATATATCATAAGGACCTAATTAAGAGCTACGGTTCGGCACCTAATAGTATGATTGGTTGATATATTTAATTTAATATATTTTCATGTATATTGTTGTATATATATTTATTTTTTGTATAGGTTTCTTCAAAGAATTGATGGTAAGGTAGATGCGGAACCGTAGCTCTAAGGTCCTTATGATATTGTTTGACTATTTGAGGACCATCTATGTTTAATAAATATCATAAGGACCTATGAGCTATGGTTCCGCAGCTATAAATAATATGGTTGGTTGATCTATTTCATTTTATATATTTTTATGTGTATTGTATATGTATTTATTTTTTATATAGGTTGCTTCAGAGAATTGATGGTAAGGTAGCTGCGGAACAGTAGCTCTTAGGTCTTTATGATATTTTTTGACTACTTCAGGACCATCTATGTTCAATAACTATCATAAAGACCTAAGAGCTACAGTTCCGAACTAATAGTAAGGTTGCTTGATTTATTTCATTTTATATATTTTCATGTATATGGTTGTATATATATTTATTTTTCATATAGGTTTCTTGAAAGAATTGATGGTAAGGTAGCTGCGGAACCGTATCTCTTAGGTCTTTATAATATATCATAATTTAAGGATTTATTAAGAGCTACGGTTCCACAACTTATAGTGAGATAGGTTGATTTATTTATTTTTATATATTTTCATGTGTATGGTTGTATATATATTTATTTTTTAATAGGTTTTTTCAAAGAATTGATGGTAAGATAGCTGCAGAAATGTAGCTCTTAGGTCTTTATGATATATCATAAGGACCTAATAGTAAGATTAGTTTATTTATTTCATTATATATATTTTCGTGTATATTGTTATATATATATTTATTTTTTATATACTGGTAGGTTTCTTCAAAGAATTGATGGTAAGGTAGCTGCGTAACCGTAGGTCTTAGGTCTTTATAATATATCATAAGGACCTAATTAAAAGCTATGGTTCAGCACCTAATAGTAAGATTGGTTGATTTATTTCATTTTATATATTTTCATGTATATGGTTCTATATATATTTATTTTTTATATAGGTTTATTCAAAGAATTGATGGTAAGGTAGCTGCAGAACCCTAGCTCTTAGGTCTTTATGATATATCATAAGGACCTAATTTAGAGCTACGGTTCTGCACCTAATAGTAAGATTTTTGTTGATTTATTTCATTTTATATATATTCATGTATATTATTGTATATATTTTTATTTTTTAATAGGTTTCTTCAAAGAATTGATGGTAAGATAGCTGCGGAAACATAGTTCTTAGGTCTTTATGATATATCATAAGGACCTAATTAAGAGCTACGGTTCCACACCCTAATAGTAAGATTAGTTGATTTATTTCATTATATATATTTTTTTTTATATAGGTTTCTTCAAAGAATTGATGGTAAGGTAGCTGCGTAAACGTACCTCTTAGGTCTTTATAATATATCATAAGGACCTTAAATTTAGAGCTATGGTTCCGCCCCTAATAGTAAGATTGGTTGATTTATTTCATTTTATATATTTTCATGTATATGGTTGTATATATATTTATTTTTTTAAATAGGTTTCTTCAAAAAATTGATGGGAAGGTAGCTGCAGAACCATACCTCTTAGGTCCTTATGATATTTTTTGACAATATGAGGACTATCTATGTTCAATAAATATCATAAGGACCAAAGAGCTATAGTTTGCAGCTATAAATAATATGGTTGGTTGATCTATTTCATTTTATATATTTTCATGTGTATTGTTGTAATTTTATATATATTTATTTTTTATATAGATTTCTTGAAAGAATTGATGGTAAGGAAGCTGCGGAACCGTAGCTCTTAGGTCTTTATAATATATCATAAGGACTTAATTAAGAGCTTCGGTTCCGCACCTAATAGTAAGATCGGTTGATTTATTTCATTTTATATATTTTCATGTATATGGTTGTATATATATTTATTTTTTATATTGGTTTCTTCAAAGAATTGATGGTAAGTAGCTGCGGAACCATAGCTCTTAGGTCTTTATAATATATCATAAGGACCTAATTAAGAGCTACGGTTCCACACCTAATAGTAAGATTGGTTGATTTATTTCATTTTATATATTTTCATGTATATTTTATATATATTTATTTTTTATATAGGTTTCTTCAAAGAATTGGTGGTAAGGTAGCTAGGGAACTGTAGCTCTTAGGTCATTATGATATTTTTTGACTATTTGAGGACCATCTATGTTCAATAAATATCATAAGTACCAAAGAGCTATGGTTCCGCAGCTATAAATAGTATGGTTGGTTGATCTATTTCACTTTATATATTTTCATGTGTATTGTTGTTTATATATTTTTTTTTTATATAGGTTTCTTGAAAGAATTTGATGGTAAGGTAGCTGTAGAACCGTAGCTCTCAGGTCCTTATGATATTTTTTGACAACCGGGTAATTGAGGACCATCTATGTTCAATAAATATCATAAGGACCAAAGAGCTATGGTTCTGCAGCTATAAATAGTATGGTTGGTTGATCTGTTTCATTTTATATATTTCCATGTGTACTGTTGTATATATATATATATTTATTTTTTATATAGGTTTCTTCAAAGAATTGATTGTAAGGTAGCTGCGGAACCTTTACTTGCTCTTAGGTCTTTATGATATTTTTTGACTATTTGAGGACCATATATGTTCAATAAATATCATAAGGACCTAAGAGCTATGGTTCCGCAGCTATAGATAGTAAGGTTGGTTGATCTATTTCATTTTATATATTTTCAAGTATATTGTTGTATCTGTATTTATATTTTATATAGGTAACTTCAAAGAATTGATGGTAAGGTAGCTGTGAAACGGTAGCTCTTAGGTCTTTATGATATTTTTTGACTATTTGAGGACCATCTATGTTCAATAAATATCATAAGGACCTAAGAGCTACGGTTCCGCAGCTAATAGTATGGTTGGTTGATTTATTGCATCTCGTATATATTTTCATGTATATGGTTGTATATATATTTATTTTTTATACAGGTTACTTCAAAGAATTGATGGTAAGGTAGCTGTGGAACTGTAGCTCTTAGGTCCTTATGATATTTTTTGATTATTTGAGGACCATCTATGTTCAATAAATATCATAAGGACCTAAGAGCTACGGTTCAGCAGCTCAAAGTTAGGTTAGTAGATCTATTTCATTTTATATATTTTCATTTGTATGGTTGTATATATATACTAGTCAACAAAAGAAATGATACAAGGCAACGTATTTTCCATATATAATGAAATTGGATACACTGCACCAAGGTAAATAATTGCCCAATTGGTCTAATATTTACAAAGTGTTATATTCTTACCAAAATCATTGATTTAAGGGAAATACATGAATTTTTTGTTGATGCCATTTTATTTCAAAAATCGTATTTTCACCCAAAAATTCAAAAATCGATATTAGAACTTAAACTTATGCATGGTCTGCTTAAAATTTTGAATGCCTTTGCAGATATCTGAATACTTAATTTTCATCTTCGAAATTAAGTGCTGACTTTTGTCATCATTTTCCGCAAAATAAATTTGACCCCTATGTTATATAACACGGTAGTTTCTCACTTTCCAATTTGGTCAGATTCTTTTAATCATATGCATTTGCTTTGGATAATTTAACAGTTTTTCCTGTTTTATTATATTTCATGATAAATTGGAGTTCAAACTTGTGTATCGTTACTTTTGTTGACTAGTATATTTATATTTCATTTCAGAGTTCACTCACAGATGTTTAATTTGTAATTTTGGAATTTTGCAGATTCAGCTTAGAGAGGATTTTTCAGTAGTCGACCTTTAATATGGCTAATAGACCAGGAAGAGTGGCATATAGATTAGGCGGGTGGGGAGCAAGAAGGTGAACTGTGGTTTATTTTTATCAATAGTACCGCTTAAGTCGACGCTAGGGGCCGTCTTGACCTTGTTGTAGGGTGTGAATGATTAGTTCATTGTTGAAGACCCTACATCAATGGTCAAGATGAAGAACAGGAATAAAAGCCCTGTTCATTGATAATTTTCTATGTTTTCTATGTATTGTGGTGCGATTTTGTCCCATGTACATTTACTCCATATCCTTTCATTTTCTATTCCGTAACTCTATACTCTATACTATACTCTATACTCTATATATTTTATTTTTATCACAGATGAAGCTAAATCTACTGTAAGCTTTTAAGAGAGCCTGCTTTGATAGAAGTGACAACAATTTTTCAAACATCACTAATCTTTATTATTTGTTTCCATTACAGAGTTCTTACAGAGATATATAGGTTACAATACTGTCTTTATTATTTCTGATGGTCTTTATATGTCCTATGTGTGTAATTGTTTGTCTTAAAGAAATAAAATATGGTATTGACTATTGATTTCAATGGGATAAAACACAAAGAAGAAATCAACTTAAATACCTCGATTTTTCTTATAGATTGGATTTGAGTAGGCATTCATATTTTCCCGCAAAACGAGAGAGCAAGGACCAATAACTCTGCATGTATCTGTATATAATCTTCACCTCCTTATAGGAGATTGCAATCGTTCTTGAGATATTCTTCCGCATGCGTTAATACAATTTTTTCTGTACGTCTGCATAGATATTAATAATTTTTCCTTACATACATATAAAACATTTTAATATTATTAAATTATGTTCTAAAAAAAATATTTGATGAGTATTCATTGAAGAAATGAATTTATAGCAAGCGATAAGGAATGTTATTTTGCACTCGATGATGTCGGCGTATTTATCATGTTTATAGATCGGTTAAAAACCCAAAACTAATTTACATAATGGAAATTTAGGCAATAGCAATACACCGGAATGACCTCACGGTCATCCGCTGTAAAAATAACTGTATTAGACATATTATAAATGTTTTTCTCACAGTAGCCATGTGAAGGGTGAGAACATATTTTCCAAGTCAGAAAACTGAAAACTAAAAGTTGTGAAAACATCTAGCTACCCGACGGAGAATTATTTTACCAGTTTAATATTTAAAGATACATGTACTAAGTATATTAACAAGATTTTCTATTAAAATAGCAATAGTAAATCCTGAGGTTGGAATAGAACTTCCAAGGGGAGGCAAATTCAATAAACAAGATTTGTTAATTTAATGGGAGATAACTCTGTAAAATATGCAGATTTTAATGCAGTTGAAATTCAAATCATTATTCTTTGACTTCCTTTTTTTCCCATCTTTATATTAATTTTACAAACTTAGGTGTTGATGTTATACTATTGTGAACATGTAGTAAGAAATCAAAACAATATTTAGTAAATGTTTATGTTGACAGAAATGGATTTATAAAATATATAATAATGTATCCATTTGAATTCCTTTTTAGGTTCTTTCTGTACGTGACATGTTTTCATGGTGTTGGGAATTAGACTTTGGGGTCTAATACATCTAAAAGGAAGGTAAGTACCAGAATGTTATTCCAGTTTTGAAGAGGAAAAAAAAAACATGTATTATAAAATTTCTTTGGAAAATTCTCTCTAGGCTTTTAGGAGTTGGTCAGGTCTACTCTCTCATTTATCAGTGCCAGTATATAAAACTTAATTTTAGGATCTGATGCAATTACATAAAAGTTTGCTGGGTTGCTGGATAGCTGTCTAATCCACATGTTCTCAACATCTATTACACATTTATAGACTACCAGTATTTATATTAAATATATATAAGTATACCAACAATGATCAGTTTAAACAATTTTTGATGATGAGGCATTTTATATTTCAGGTTAACATCACAGTTGGTCCGTAAGGATTGAGGTTGGGAATGGCAATTGGAGCTGACTTTTATGGTAAGAATTAGTACATAGATTTATGAACTATTCAACTTAGAGAATGTCACTAGAATTTTTCATGTTATAAGTGTATGTATAATTTGGAAGGGGGTATCAAGATACAAAAAAGGGAAGTCAAAGATTTGAATTTTGGATATCTTCTCTCTGTTTTTTTTTATGTAAATTAATCCCGCTATATATATAGAAATTAAGAAATGTAGTATTATTGCCAATGAGACATTAATCAACCAGAAACCACATGACAAGGATGTTAGCAACTATAGAATGCCATTCTATGGTCTTCAACAATGAGCAAAACCTATTCTGTATTGTAAGCTATATAAGGCCCCAACATGGCAAAATATGAAATAATTCATATGAGAAAACCAATGACTTTATAGGATAAAACAATAAACAAACAAAAAATATGATAGACAACAAACAACGACTTGTTTTTCATCTTTTTTTGCCAACAAAGACTGGAAGTCTAAAAGTTATGTCCACTAGTCACTTTAAAGCTAGGTAAAGAAATGTTATATGCATCATAATTGTAATGTCCAGTTAATTATTCTTTTGCATTAAATATTGTTTCAATTATTTTCACATAGTTTTGACAGATATGTTTAAGAATGAATATTTCTTTTTCAGGTAACTTTAACAGTGGCTGCATGAAAATGATTGGGTGACTGTACCAGTAAAGAATGTAATTCAGACAATTTTTGTGTATGTTTGAGAAAATGTTTATAATTTTTTACAAAAAAAAAAATAGTGTAAAGATTTTCCATTTTCAACAAGATTGTAAGTTATAGATAACTTATTTTGAATTTTAAAATCTCTCTTTTTACCATTAAAACCAAAGGATATACTCAGGTAGCTCTACTCATGTCCATTCTTGACAATTTTTTTGTCATGCATATTGATACTGAACTGGTTTTTGTCTCACCTTGACGGAGTCGAAAAGCGAGACATAGGTATGCTGTTTCTGGCGGCGGCGGCGGCGTCAACAATGTATTAGTTTGTGATTAGGTCTAGTTTATGGTGAATCACTAGCGGTAGGTCAATGATATTTGGTATGCAGTTGAATTAGCATTGGCACATCTCATTACCATGGAGATTATTTGGCCCTGCCCCCTCAGTCATGGTTTATTGACTTTGAAACTTTGCTTAGTTTTCATGTATTAGTTTGTGATTAGGTCAGTTTATGGGGAACCACTAGTGGTAGGTCAATGATATTTGGTATGCAGTTGTATAAGCATTGGCATAACTCATTTCCATGAAGATTATTTGGCCCCGCCCTTCAGTCATGGTCTATTGACTTTGAAACTTTTGCTTAGTTTACAAGTTAGTATTTATGTTTAGGTTTCTTTAAAGGGAATGACTTATGAAAAGTCAATGGTATTTGGTATGCAGTCGTATTAGCATTGGCTTATCTCATTTCCATGGAGATTGTTTAGCCCTGTACCTTTAGTCATGGTTCATTGACTTTGAATATTTGCATAACTTACATGTAAAAGTATTGTTATTTTAATTTCAACATTTGCATTATCAAAATAACAAATAGGCGAGACATATCTCTGTGTTAACAGTTTATTGGTATGTATAGTTTTGTTTTGAGTTCATAGTTCAGATTGTATTCATTATTTTTTTCCCCCTGTGGCTAGATTTAATTGGTACTTTGAAAATGAATTGAAATTGACCACTTTTATTTGAAGACCTACTCTTTTAGATATATTAATAATGGTCCATGTCTAGTCAAAACACTTCCAGAAGTTAAGAATGGAGAATCTTAAAATAAAAGAAAAAATGAAATGTATATTTTGGCTTTCACCGTTGTTAAATATATATCTGTTCCGAATGTTTTTGTTTTTTTATGCCCCTGCCATAGAGAAAGGAGGCATTAAGTGTTACCCTTGATGTCCTTCTGTCCTTTTGTTGTTCCTTTTGTCCCATTTTTGTTTCCGCACTATTTTTTAAGAGTAATGCCCCTTTATCAGTTGGAAAATTGCAAATTTGGGCATTGAGTCACTAAATTTTACTAGAGTTACCGGGTATGCTCCTTTTTAAAAATTTTAAAATTGCAAAGCTTGAGCAAGGGCATAGTGTCCTCAGACACATTCTTCTTTTATTTTTTAGCTGAGTTTGATATAATTTATATTTTTATCAATTGTTTTGTTCTGAATAATTATACATTTTTTTATACTGTCTAAAGTATACTTCCTGAGACGGTCTTCAGAGCATTAGGTTTTGGACTCAGGTTTCCAAAATTTTCCCACTACAAATTCAGTTTTTATACGACCGCAAAAAAAATTTTGTGGTCGTATATTGGTATGACGTTGGCGTCGTCGTCGACGTCCGAAGACACATTAGTTTTCGCACTCTAACTTTAGTTTTAGTGAATGGATCTCAATGAAATTTTATAATAAGGTTCAATACCACAAAAGGAAGGTGGGGATTGATTTTGGGGGTTATGGTACCCACAGTTAAGGAATTAGGGGCCCAAAAGGGGCCAAAAATAAGTATTTTTGGAACTTCCAGACATAACTTGTGTGTAAGTGTATGGATCTCTCTGACATTGTACCACAAGGTTTCATATCACAAAGGGAATGCTGGGATTGATTTTGGGGGTAATTGCTCCAAATTTTAGGAATTAGGGGCCAAAAAGGGGCAAAAAACAAGCATTTTTCTAGTTTCATGACAATAACTTGTGTGTAAGTGTATGGATCTCTCTGATATTGTATCACAAGGTTCCATATCACAAAGGGAATGCTGGGATTGATTTTGGGGGTATTTGCCTCAAAGTTTTTGGAATTGGGGGCCAACAAAGGGCCAAAAAACAAGCATTTTTTCTAGTTTCATGACAATAACTTGTGTGTAAGTGTATGGATCTTTATAAAATTGTACTGCAAGGTTCCATATCACAAAGGGAAACCTAGGTTTGAGTTTGGGGGTAATTGCCCTAAACGTTTAGGAATTTGGGGCCAAAAAACAAGCACTTTTCTAGTTTCAAGACAATAACTTGTGTTCAAGTGTATGGATCTCTCTGAAATTGTACTGGTAGGTACCATACCACAAAGGGAAGGCTGGGATTGATTTTGGGGGTAATTCCCTCAAAATTTTAGGAATTAAGGGCCATAAAGGGGCAAAAAAAATCATTTTTCTAGTTTCAGGACAATAACTTGTGTGTTAGTGTATGGATCTTTATGAAATTGTACTGCAAGGTTCCATATCACAAAGGGAAAGCTAGGTTTGAGTTTGGGGGTAATTGCCCTAAATGTTTAGGAATTTGGGGCCAAAAAGGGGCCAAAAAACAAGCATTTTTCTAGTTTCCAGACAATAACTTGTGTTCAAGTGTATGGATATCTCTAAAATTGAACTGCAAGGTACCATTCCACAAAGGGAAGGCTGGGATTGAGTTTGGGGGTGATGAATCATAAGGGGGTTCAACAAATTTGGGGGGGATTTTTTTTTCCTTTTTTTTCTTTAAAATTTTCCATTTTAAATTGGTTATTACTGATTTATATATAAAAGCAAATAATAATGATATGGTTTGAATAGGTAAATTAAAATTTTTTAAGTTCTTAGACCACATTCATTCTGTGTCAAATATTTAATTACAATCCAAATTCAGTGCTGTATCAAGCTTGAATGTTGTGTCCATACTTGCCCCAACTGTTCCGGGTTCGACCTCTGCGGTCGTATCAAGCTGCGCCCCAGCGGAGCATTTTATTTAAAGAAGTTTGACCAAGTTCAGTCGTTTTAGTCGGTTGTCATGGTTGTTACTGGCAGGGAGATTGTTGATGATAAGAGATTTTGTCATTATTTGGTATTTAACTTAAAATACAGCATAGAAGCATTTCATCAATTATGATTTTTATGATTATCTTTTATGTATATATGCTTACAATTTGTATACATGGATATTGTTTTAAAAATCATTAAAATCTGGTGTCCAGACGAGCTGTCTGGGTTATCAGCAACATGAATATATTGTTAGTTTTGTTTAAGCCTAAATATTTAAGGGATAGAAGTTATAGTAATATTATATGAATAGACTCGTTATTAAAATTAATTATACCCCACGAAAATTTTTTGCAAAGGGTATAATGTTTTTGACCCGTCCATCCATCTGTCTGTCCGTCTGTCGGTCCGACTGTCTGTCCGACTGTCTGTCCGTCAGTCCTGTTTCTTGTCATCGCAACTCCTCTCAAACCACACAACAGAATTTCATGAAACCTTTTCAGATAATAAGGACATACTATGGAGATGTGCATATCGACATGAATTTACGAATCAATTTTTTTCCCAGGAGTTACGCCCCTTTCAACTTATTTGCCCAATATACTACTGTAACCTTTTGTCATCGCAACTCCTCTGAAACCACACAACAGAATTTCATGAAACTTTGTAGATAATAAGGAAATACTATGTAGATGTGCATATTGACAGGAAATTACGATTCAATTTTTTTTTCTAGGAGTTGCGCCCCTTTGAACTCATTTGCTTTAATGTACTACTGCAACAGTTTGTCATCGCAACTCCTCTGAAACCACACAACAGAATTTCATGAAACTTTGTAGATAATAAGGAAATACTATGTAGATGTGCATATTGACAGGAAATTATGATTCAATTTTTTTTTCTTACACTTATTTTATTTCTCCAATGACAATGTGGGGACGTGGGGTATGTGAGTGCGCTCACTAAGGTTCTTTAATTTGAGAATGTCATGGACCATTAAAGTACAGGTCAAGTTAAGATTTTGATTTTTTTCACAATTACTGTTCAAGATTTGCAGCTTGCCTTTGAAAATGTTAGTTCTTTGATTTCTGGATGATAATTATAGTACCACTTGACCCAATCCTTTGAAATTGTACATAATATCATGGATCATCGAAAAACTGTTCAAGGTCCATTTTGATGGTTTTGAGAATAACCGTTCAAGAGTTATGCCCCTTAGTTACTTTAAACATTTAACTTTCTTATTTCCAGATGATAATGAAGTAATGTTTGACAAAAGCTTTTTTGATTTTAACACAATTTATGAAACACAAAATACTGGTCACATTTAATTTTGGTATTTCATTTACTGTTTTTTTTCTGCAAGCAGGTGTATCTGCTCAATTATTAGATCTTATCACTTAAATCTAGTTTGAATCTGGACGGCAAATGCCAGTAACAGGAAAGGGGTTTCTGAAATTAGGGGTATTTCGCATGATTTTATTTTTTCAGTCACTCGGTTAAGTTTAGTTTATGACTATTTTTGTTTCTGATCAACGAGACAAAAGGGATAGCCTCAACTTATGAACTTGTAGAAATTGTTTAAATGGATTCAAGTTAATATTTCGAAAGACACAGTGACACACTGCATACATATGGGATAAAAACACGTTTAGGTCCTTTGTGGTTTTTTTATTCACTTTTGTGCTACATAATAGATATAGGAAGATGTGGTATGAGTACCAATGAGACAACTCTCCATCCAAGTAACAATTTATAAAAGTAAACCATTATAGGTCAAGGTACGGCCTTCAACAAGGAGCATTGGCTCACACGGAACAGCAAGCTATAAAGGGCACCAAAAATGACTGTGTGAAAACCATTCAAACAGGAAAACTAATCTATAAAAAAACGAGAAACGAGAAGCGCTTTTTTTTCTTCCCCGGGTGCTTTTTCTTTTCCCCGGGCGCTTACGGGCGCTTTTTAGTAGGACCGGATTTTCATATGATGAAGACATAATCTTTCAATCAGTTTAATTGAGGTCTGGAGCTGGCATGTCAGTAACTGCTAGTAGTCCTTTGTTCATTTATGTATCATTGTCATTTTGCTTAGTTTCTTTTGTTACCTATTCCAGAGACATATATACACATATATACATGTATTATATGTCTCTGGATGTACTAACAACTGTTACATATGACAAGGACCTTAACGTTTTACTGATATATTACTTTACAAGTAAAACAGACATGGAGCATAATGGTTAAGTAAGTATTTCTTGTCACATATCGTAATGACCATCATGCGACCTTGCCCGTCTAATTCAGGGTTAAGCTATTTTTGTAACATTTATTTGTCCGGGTTATGGCTCTCTATCCTTTGACGTAGACTTTGGTTTTGGTATTTGTGTGCATTAGGACAAGAAGATTTTTCACTTCTATTGCAGATGACCTCTGACCTTGACATTCGACCTCAAGTAAAATAACTAATTGTTGAAAGACGGACATGTAAGTATTGCCCAAACCATATGATTATATATTTTTGCCTTGGCTATACCTTTCTGGTGCACTTTAGGGGTTGTACCTGAGGGACATGTCCCGTCACCTGATAAGATAAATTGTTAAATATATCAGAAACCATCAGTTCAGATCTCCACCCCTAAAACCTTTATAATCCTTATTGCCATTATAAGCCATTATAAGACTTTTATTGTGCTCCGTATGTTTTATTGTTAATTTTCTCCTTGATAACATTTATGTACGTTTCGGCAATAAAGTTTATCGACATGTTGTAAGTATTCCTATGGGCACCAATTGCGCCCCTTTAATAGCATACTTGTTCTTGTACTGTTTTAATCACAATGTATGACCAAACTCAGTAAAGAACCGTCTGTATTGCATTTAATTGATAAATTCAACAACACTTACAGTTATCTTGATGATATTGTTTCGTTAAATAATCAAGAATTTTCAAAATATACTGCCGAAATTTACCCAAAGGAACTTACCTTAAATAAATCAAATTTAAACAGTAATAACTGTCCTTTCCTAGAATCGTATATTTCAGTTTTACACTGGAAACTCTACACAAAAATTGACGACAAAAGGGACGATTTTTCATTCCCTATTGTTAATTTTCCTTTTTTTGGACGGTGATGTTCCTTTGGCACCATCCTACGGTGTAAATATATAACAACTCGTTCGCTATGCCCGTGTCTGTTGTGACGTTTTGGATTTCAGTGAACGTAATCTATTTATTACTGGTAAATTATTAAGTCAGGGATTTCGTTACCACAAATGACTTAAAACCTATACTAAATTCTTCCATAGATTCAGAGATTTGGTTTGGAAGTTTGGCTGTACCTGTAGAAAACTTATTTCAAAAACGGGACAGCACATGCTAATGTTTAGGGAGATGTTGTGTACCGAGCCCATAGATACAACCCTGGTAAACTTATCGATCCTTTATATCAACATATTCTAAAAGGTTACCAATTCAACACTGTAATTAGATCTATGAATATTGTTTTCATTGGTATAAATATTGATTTTGTTATCAATAAATTGAAATCAAACTAAATATTATTTTTATATACTTATGCACATTCATGGCTCTACAATCTGTCGATACCTGCATGTATTTTGGCATTGCACAAGGTCATGTTTTTTCTCGGACTGTTAATGGCGTCTTTACACTCAATCCATTGGATGTGGGATGTGTACTGATTGATATTTTAATCTTTATATATATATATATATATAGATGCATGATTTTTTTTATTAGTTGTTATTGGCTTTGAACTTGCTGTCAGTAACTGCGAGTACTCTCAGATCTGTACTTGGTGTCTTTTTTGTTGTAGGGATGTATAATAAAATACCCTGCCACTCCAGATCTATGTTTTTGTTAGATGTTTTTCTGCTTTGTATCGATCTGATGAGTCAATATAAAAATAAGAAGATGTGGTATGATTGTCAATGAAACGACTAAGAGACAAAATGACACAGAAATTAACAACTATTATAGGTCACCGTACGGCTTTCAACAACGAGCAAAACCCATGCCGCCTAGTCAGTCATACAAGGCCTCCAAAGCCCTTTTCAACTGATTTTAATAGTTTGTTCTTATGTTGTACTGTTACACCACTGTCCCAAGTTAGGGGAGGGTATGGCACCAACAACCTACTTTAACTCCGCCACATTCTGTATGTGCCTTTCCCAAGTCAGGAGCCTGTAATTCAGTGGTTGTGGTTTGTTTATGTATAGCATATTTGTTATTCATTAATTGTTTTGTACATAAATCAGGCAGTTAGTTTTCGCGTTTTAATTGTTTTACATTTGTCATTTCGGGGCCTTTTTTTAGCTGACTATGCGGTATGGGTTTTGCTATGATTGCTGAAGCCGTAGGGTGACCTATAGTTGTTAACTTCTATGTCATTTGGTCTCTGGTGGAGTTGTCTCATTGGCAATCATACATCTTATTTTTATATTTTACCCTTGCGCCCATTTCCCACCTCAAATATCGTAAATTGATAAGTATACTACAAAGTGCTCTGATTTCCACCTCTATACCATATATATGTTCTTTATAATCATAAGACCTTTCCTATGTAAACTATAGTTTTTTCCACTAAAACTGTTCCTACAACTTTATAGTTTAATCAAGACTAACAGCTTGTATTTTGTTTGAAAACTATGTACAACTATTCTTTGGTCACGTATCTTCTTGTAATGTTCATGACATTGTTGTAAGGAATCTGATCTCTGGCACAACCACTGATATTAGAGTGAAAGAGGCATGATTTCTATAGTAGCAGATGAAGTACATGGAGCTTGCTTTCAGTAACTACTTGATTCTTTGATGCAGAACTATTTTCAATATCAATTTACTTGTGCCTTTTTGTGTGCGTGTCATATACTGGTATTATTCCTAGCAATTTACCTTTTGATATTCATTGATAACCCCCTACATATTTCTCTTCTGAAGGAACATTATTGATGTAATCGGTATAAATTAGATTTGTAAACTGTAAAATCTTCCTGTAAATTATATCATTCTTTGCTCAACAAATGACTTTATGAATGTTTCTTTGGTCCCATTTAAAGGTTTGTGTGATTTTCCAGGTCATTGACTATACCTGTGTTTGCAGGAACGTCTGAGGTTTCACTAAAAAATAAATGGGGTATGTGTCCATGGGACACAGATGATGCCCCCACTTGCATATAACGGAAACAAAAATTTCAGCAATTTTTCCATTTGTAAAGGGACATAACTCAAGAACACTAAAAGTGATGCTACCAAATTTGTACTTGATCTGAGTTTTGTGGTATTAAGCATTGTGTATAAGATTCATAACATTTGGTTGAGGCAAACTTCAGTTAGAGAACGGAAACGAAAAACCTATAGTTGTTAATTTCTGTGTCAATTGGTCTCTTGTGGAGAGTTGTCTCATTGGCAATCATACCACATCTTCTCATTTTTATATAACTCTAGAACGGTAAAAGCGACACCACCAAAATTCTAATTTGATCTGTATTTTGTGGTAATAAGCATTGTGCATAAGTTTCATAACATTTGGTTGAGGCAAACTAAAGTTAGAGAACAGAAACCAATTTCGGGACGTACGGACAGACGAATGGACAAGGGTAAAACTTAATGCCCCCTCCTCTACGACAGGGGCATAAAAATAAGTGCAAGTGGGAGGGATGGAGGGGATGCTTTCATTTAATCTTGTATATTATGAATATAACTTATTTTTGAAAATTGTGTTATGGAGTGGAAGAGTTAATAGAATAATTTACAGTGGGGAAGTTAGGTCATTGTTACAGTGGAGAAGTTAGGTCATTGTTTACAGTGGGGAAGTTAGGTCATTGTTTACAGTGGGGAAGTAAGGTCATTGTTTACACTGGGGAAGTTAGGTCATTGTTACAGTGGGGAAGTTAGGTCCTTGTTATAGTGGGGAAGTTAGGTCCTTGTTTACAGTGGGGAAGTTAGGTCCTTGTTTACAGTGGGGAAGTTAGATCCTTGTTTACAGTGGGGAAGTTAGGTCATTGTTTACAGTGGGGAAGTTAGGTCATTGTTGAATACTGTACAGTGACCTTCAGATTTTAGGCGGATTTTGTATCTTTGGCGATCATACATCAATTTTTATAATGGACTTCAAACAAGTCATTTTTAAATATTTGGCATGTCAGTAATGGAAAATAAAGATCTAAAAAATAAACCAGGAACTGTAGAAAATGTAGTGCACATATGAGTGTGATAGATTATCCAAAGGAATGTTTTCTGCATTTACTATGTCAACAAGATTTTCTATGTTATTTTCAAGGATTGGTATGACGAGTACAGTTATTGAAAGGGTGTGGAATAGATCAAATTTCTTAGCTTTTTAAACTTCAGTGCAGGAGGCAGATGTTTTGAAAAATGCTAAGTACATCAGCAACAGAGAAGGATGTAGAACAGGCATTTTTTTAACTGATCATGTCTTTTTAGCTGTATTGATAACAATTTGTTTTAAGTGCAACAAAAAAACATTAAAGTATTTTTATTTTATCAAACTTTTTTGCACATACATAATAACATACCAAAATAATAATACTTATGAAGCATATTTTATAGTTATTTCCTGACCAATGTCAGAAAATTGGCATTTAAAAAGGTTTTGACATCAATATAATATATAGCTTCTTTTCCTCTACCATAAAACTGTAGCAACACCATGAAAAAGTCAACTTTAAACATAGAACTTACACAAGCAACTTAAAATCTAATATCCAATTCAAAGAAAAAAAAACAAATAGGAGAAAAAACGGGTATTATCTAAAGAAATATGAACTGGATTGAAGTAAGATTGTAGCTCTTAAAACATGACATTTTTTTTCAAACATGACTTCTGTAAAGAAGAAAAATGTTTGATTTTTCATCAATTCCAGTTAAACATTATTAAAACTACTGAAATTCAAGCTGTCAATTTGTTTGGTAAGACAAATACTGGTAATAGTCCAATAATGGCTACATTTAATTTTCTCTAATTTAAATATTTTGTTATTGTCTTTTTTCTATTAATAAGTTGTCAAGAGAGTCAACTCTTTAAAAATATGTTTACTAAAATTATCCAGATGATAGTGTCAGAAATATCTACAGTAACAGATTTACTTTTTTTTAAATCACTGTTGTCTTTTTTATTTAAGCAATCACAATTTAAAGGCCTGTATCATACTTTTAATTTTAATATAAAAATAACAAATAAAGGTTAGGTTTTTGCATATATCAGGTACTTTTACCTAAAAGATGCTGAAAATATTATCTTATTAAAACATTTGAATAGACATTGATATAAAAGGACATTCGAAAACTATTAAGCAAATTGTAGTATCCATACCTAATTATTATCATTTTTTTCTTCAGGTTACTTTTCATTTAGTAAAGATTCACAAGTATAAAATAAAACAAATTAATGAAATAAATAAAGCCTCTACATAACTGAATGTCAATTCTATGCAGAACATTTTGATACAATTGTATAATATAATAAATGATAGAATAAAAAAATCAGCAAAATTGTTTACAATAACAAAAGAACATCATTTACTGTTCTTCCTTTTCGTTGGTTTGGCTTTTTCTTGAGCTTTCCTTGAGATAGTTTTATTTGTGTTGGCATATTTTCTTGCATCATCCCTAAAAAAAGATATGTTGAAAGCAAAATTAATACACAATTACAACTGCTCTATAAAGTTTAATTATATATATATATAAAATTAACAATCTAATAATAGAATTTTTAATTTAATAATTTTTAGAATAATCTCTCCCAACCACCATAAACATTGTGAAGATACGGATGTGAATTTATTGTCAAATTGGATCATTGTTAGTGGAGTTGATATGCTAACAAATCAAACACTGTTAGTATATGAAAATAGATGAAAGAGGATTAATGTTTTTCTAAAATTAAATCAATTAAAATGTTGTCAGGCTTTGTTCTACTGCCTTTATTGCTATTTCAGACAGGAGTTAAACAAACTAGATATCATTGAGATGGGAGCCATCTCTGTGGGCCCCGCTGGGAATAATGTGGTAAAAAATTTGTATCTTTATCATTGGACATGGGGTTGTCAACTGAAACCAAAGTTTTTGACCTTGACCTTTGTCCTAGGAAGTTGTACATAAATTATGACACACCCTCTGGTGTTGGTTAATATACATGTCAAGTATAAACTTTGAAATCATAACGGTTCTCAAGATATAGAGCGGACACAATTTGTTACGGACAGACGGACAGACCGACGCGAACAGACTGATCACTATAGGGCGTCCGCCATTCGGCGAGGTCCTAATTATTATTCTTATTAATTATTAATTTGTTTATACTAACCTGTTCATTTTCACTTTGTCTCTGCAACCTTTGCCACCTTCCCAGAATGCTGAGCGACTTTTTGTCATCAATTGATGGCAGGCATTACATGGTTTTTCCAATGCAAAAGGCTGAAAATTTAAAGACAAAATAAATTTAAATATACTTATGGTACTAAGAGAGAGAATAATAAAGCAAATTTTCTTGTTATTTTCTAATTGAAGTAACATACTTTTAGCCTTTATACCTTGATATAATGTTGCTTCATTTTCTCTATCAAAATAACTGAGGTAAAAACGTAACAGCTAACATTAAAACAAAAAAATAAATGTTTCTTCTTTTAGTACTGTAAAACTTCTGAAACTCAAGTAAGGTTGAAATAAGTATAATTAAAAAATATTGTTTTCTCAATAGAATGTCACAAAAGTATAATATTCCATAAGAGTTTTTGTTCATTACCTGTTCTTTACAGCAATGTCCACATATCATTCTGTTAGCTATAACCATTAAATGATCTTCTGTGTCATCATGACAAACATCACATGGGTAACATTTCCCACAGCATGGGAATCTGAAAAGTACAAAATTTACTTATTAGAGCTATCAAGCTAGCCATGTGTTAGCTGGGTGAGTAATGCAATAAAAGGAACTCACATTCCGAAATCTGACACATATTTTTCTATGCAGCTTTTCCTGTAATCGCAATAATTATTCTTACATTTTGGTCTGTCATGTCGAATTCGCAATAATAAATGCATGCAATAATTTCAGAATTTAAAAAGTTTCATAAACAGCAAAGCATAATAACTGAATAAATAACAAACCCTACATGTAATATACTCTTAATAAATAGGATAACAATTTTCACAGATTATGCAGTTAAACACTGGTGGATCTTAAAGTGTTACGGGGTGGGACTGACTTCTTCATAAGCTATACAAATTTTAATGCACCAATAAAAGAACTTCGACAGTATCTATTCCAAAGTGAAAAAAAAAAAAAAGAAGACCTGCTAAAGATATGTTTTTTATTGTGTTTTACAATTATATGGCCTAGATAGGCAAAGGTTGATGGGGGTCTGTTGTACTGTTAAATAGTTTTAGTAATTCATGTTACCCTTTAAAGTATCATCTATTTTTACACTAACCTTAACTTTGCATTGGCCTTCTTTAGCATGTAAATTACGGAGTAAGACTTACCTAAACCATCTAAAACTCTTTTTGTAGTGTTTACAAATTCCATTATCTGGAAGTTGGTTGCCAAGAATGATTCTGGGATCTTTTGGAATCTTTTTTATTCTCATCACAGGAATATTCACTGCACCATCTGTAATTCAAAACATGTATCTTTAATAACAAATATATAAAAACTCTGTATGTTTAAAATAATCTGTAAAATATTGTTCAAATGCATTTTATCAAAGATATATATATATATATATATATATATATATATATATATATATATATAAGTCTAGAGATTTGCACAACGATACTAATATAAGATGGTATTATACGATCTTATATTAGTATCGTTGTGCAAATCTCTAGACTTATATAATTTTTTCCTTATCTGCACAGTATCGTCTATTCTAGACGATCCGGTACATAGTAAATTTGCTGGTTGGTCCTTTTTATAGACTTCTATATATATATATATATATATATATAATGGTTTATTGCTGTCTCTTTGTGGATTTAAGAACTGGAACAAATGTACTGAATCAATAAAAGAAATGCCATTTACATAGTTAATAAAATAAGGTCAACTACACACAATAACAAACAATCCTATAAAATATGAAAGCTAAGACAAGTTGTACTCACAAGGTGTTTGGTCAAAGTTCTGTAACTCCTGTAAAAATTTTCAAAGAGAATATGACAAAAAATAATTCTTCCAAGTTTTTGAAAGTTTTCTCTCAAATTGCCTCAGAGTATTGATGTGTTTCAAACAGATGGAGACCATTACCATTTCCCCAGCTGCAAGAAAACTTAGAGAACTTAGTGTGTTTATGTCGGAGCACTCACCCTGGTTAAGATAAGATGGCTGAAGTTCGGTAAACCTGACAGAATCAGCTGCTACTTTCATTTTTTGATAGCAAGTATAGCATGATACATCCTTCAGTTGTTCAGGAGGCAAACCCTGTAATAAATATGCATTTAAATAAAATAAAACTATCAGGGAACACAGTAATATCAAATCTTTTATGACTTATATAATTAACTTTCTTCTTCAAACGTTTCTTTTCTTTTGTGAAACAAATATCACAGGCTATAGCTACCTGGTTTTACCTGAATATTTAACTTTTGTGAAATATATAAATTTTAAAAAAAGCATTTTAATTTCTGTTTATAAAAAGGGTAGAGAAAAATGATATTAATATATTTTTCATCTTTCTTTTGTTAGTTTCAAAAAATATTATTTAATTTTAGATTCAGATGTGAAGTACTTGTGAACGAGACAGCATCCCAACAAAAAAAACAACAGATATCTTGAAGTCAATATATAGTTTTCAACAACAAACACATATCTATTTAACATGTCAAGTTCTAAATACCCCTTAAAGAATTCAAATACAAGTTATGAGTAAATTCAATAGAACATGCTTTATACATATAAATGTATATCAATCAGCTATGTTTACCTGAACTGTTGTTTCCTTTGAACATCTCATGCATCCCAATTTGAACTGACAATCTTGCATAACCAGATCAAAAGCAGTGCATCCTTCTACATCTAAATAACCAATGACAGAAGAATATTGATGAGCCATGGATGGTCGAAAGTTTACCAACTGTGACTGGTTACATTTCTGACAGGGAACAGCATTGACCTGGTTTGGAGGTGTCTTCACATCCAGACGATTGTGACATCTTGTACACTGTATGATTATCTTTATCTGAAGGAATACCATGGTGGATGCAGAATCCCTCAATTGAAGATTTCTTAGTCTTACTTCTGTACCTCTCACTTCAGTTTCTGTTACATCTAAATCTTTCTTACTGTTTTGTTCTACAAAATAATTTAGAGGTTTAAAAATAATTTTGATAAGGATTGCCACTTTGTAGAGTTGAAATATGACATAGAAAATAGCTTATTTCAAAGTGAAACATATTCATTTTTTTTTATAGTTCTGTTGTAAATTTTTATGTTATATTAATAAACTACAACCCTTTTGGTAAGTTGTACATAAAATGTTGAATTTTTTATAGATTTCTTACTAATTATAAATCATACAAGTATAACTCTATGTACATTTGCAAATAAAACGATCAAAATAGCTCTTAACTGTATTTTGTATATATATATATATCTACCTTCAGCATATTCATATTCATCACCACTGCTGAAGTTTTCCATTGGTCCTGTGTAAATTTCATCTACATCTTCCTTTTTATAAACGGTATATTCTCTCTCCTCTGTGTTTGTATCACTTCCTGTTTCATCACTGCTGTCGTCTGTTTGTGAACTGACAGCTTCCTTTTTTAGCTGACTGGCTGGAATAAATTCCATTCCTGCAGCTTTTGCCATAATTTCTCTTTGATACTATATGAGAAAAAGAACTTTTAATGAAAACTTTAGGCAAACTGCATTGCATCAAGGGTAGAAGTGTAAGTTTTTCACAAAGTTTTGTTATCGATGAAAGTGAGCACATTGCGTTCAAAATTTAAATTTATAAATGGGGAATGTGTCCATGGGACACAGATGATGCCCCTGCTTGCATATAACTTTATAAAAGGAAATAACACAAGAACCGTAAAAGTGACGCTACCCAAATTCGTACATTATCTGAGTTTTGTGGTAATAAGCATTGTGTATAAGTTTCATAACATTTGGTTGAGGCAAACTTAAGTTATCTGAGTTTTGTGGTAATAAGTATTGTGTATAAGTTTCATAACATTTGGTTGAGGCCAACTTAAGTTAGAGAACGGAAACAAAAAATTCAGCAATTTTTCCATTTGTAAAAGGGAATAACTCTAGAACAGTAAAAGTGACACCACCAAAATTCAAACTTGATCTGTATTTTGTAGTAATAAGCATTGTGTATACGTTTCATAACATTTGGTTGAGGTAAACTGAAGTAAGAGAACAGAAACGAAAATTCAGCAATTTTCCCATTTGTGAAGGGGTATAACTCTAGAACGGTTAAAGTGATGACACCAAAATTCAAACTTGATCTGTGTTTTGTGGTAATAAGCATTGTGTATAAGTTTCATAACATTTGGTTGAGGCAAACTAAAGTTAGAGAACGGAAACCAACTTTGGGACGTACATTCATACGTACAAGGGTAAAATTTAATGCCCCCTCTGCTACGGCATAAAAAATCAAATGAAGGAATTAATATATCAAACTCTATTAAAAGGTAATACAACCAAGATCTAAAGTGAAAAAAGGTATATGGCTTATTAATTCATGACACAATAAATGGGAAATGTGTCCATGGGACACAGATCATGGACACAGATGATGCCCCCTCTTGCATAAAACGTCATAAAGGGACACCACCAAAATTTGTATTTGATCTGTATTTTATGGTAATAAGCATTGTGTATAAGTTTCATAACATTTGGTTGAGGCAAACTAAAGTTAGAGGACAGAAACGAAAAATTCAACAATTTTTTTCCATTTATAAAGGGGCATTACTCAGGAACGATAAAAGTGACGCCACCCAAATTTGAACTGGATCTGTGCTTTGAAGTAATAAGCTTTGTGTATAAGTTTCATAACATTTGGTCAAGGAAAACTAAAGTAAGAGAACGGAAACCAGTTTCAGGACATACAGACGAACGTACAGACGGACTAAGTGCACTTGAAAAACCAACAGTAAAGGAAGAGGACTTTCATTTCATTACTTTTAGTTATCTCAAAGCAATATTCAAGCTTCCACAACAAACAAAAACATCAAATATAAATTTAGGAGCTTATTTATTAATGAAGGTCATTTGTTGACCTCTATATGATAATTTTCACACGGACTGGGTCACATTGATGTTTACCCTTAAACTTTTGAGTATTTTTGTCAATACCTATGACCTGTGTATGAACATGCATAAGTTTTATCACCACTGTTTTTCTTTTGAACATGTTTACACATAATTTAACATACATGTAATTTATTGTATTTTATACCTGTTTCAAACCTTCTGTAACCATATCCTCCAAACTACGATCAAACCATTTTAAGAAAGGTCTAAACACCATATTAATAACTCCTCTCTTGATATTCTGCTTATCTTTCTCTTCAATCCATTCTTGAATAGACACCTCTACATATCTAAAGAACATTAAAAGGATTATTATTATACATGTTATATGTGCTTAATAAAAAATATTGAAAACTTGCACATGTTGCAATGTATCATTAAGGATTATAAATAGTGCATAGTAAATGTACCGGGAAACTCCAAATAGATTTTCAGTCTTTTTGTTTCTGTCATAATAAATGTACCGGGCAACTCCAAATAGATTTTTAGTCTTTTTGTTTCTGTCATAGTAAATGTACTGGGCAACTCCAAATAGATTTTTAGTCTTTTTGTTTCCGTCATAATAAATGTACTTGGTGACTCCAAATAGATTTTCAGCCTTTTTGTTTCTGTCATAGTAAATGTACCGGGTAACTCCAAATAGATTTTTAGTCTTTTTGTATCTGTCATAATAAATGTACTGGGTGACTCCAAATAGATTTTCAGTCTTTTTGTTTCTGTCATAGTAAATGTACTGGGTAACTCCAAATAGATTTTTAGTCTTTTTGTATCTGTACATACAGAACACAATGTTGTTGAGTTTAAATCACAGTAAATGGAAATACAGATCCTGTGTCTATGCTTCTCATAGTCACTCATACACTGTTTGAAATTCTTTTGTTTCTGTATGTTAATCAGATTGACTCACTGGTGTGACCCAAATTTCTGTGAAGCATTGTTTTGCTGGAGAATCATTTGTATAATTTCTTTTGACCATGCATTTTCCATCGATTAAAAATTTGAATCAAACTCATTCACTGGGAATTTATGTTAACATTACAGTAATGTTTACAGTAATGTTTAATTTACCAAGTGATTTTGAGTACTTTACAAGGCATCCTTTACTATGTACAAGAGTTGAATCATAACTACCATTATAAATATTACTTTGAAGAACACTTACCTTCTAACAGTTTCAGGTAAATTCTGTTCTTGTGGCAGACAAACTTCCATCAGCTGTTTAAAAAGATCAGTGATGTACGTATCTAATCATATATTATCTTGATAATAATAACTTATATTTAATAGACTTAATATACCTTATATGCATATATCACAATTATTGAAAATTTTATAGACAGAAGACTAAATATTATTCAATGAGTAATGAGTAAAACAAAAAAATGCTTGTTTTTATGATACCTCTGATTAAAAGATACAGTATATATATTTATCTAAAACACAATTATATTATGTAAGAAAAAACATTCTAGTTATGACCAATCAATTTCCTTCTTTCTAACATCTACAAGGGTATTATGTATCATAGATAGGATAGAAGTTTAAAGTGTGAAATCTTTCATGGATTCATGTAACAATGTTATGTTAAAGATAATCCTCACTAAGCACACATATACATTTTAAGTATCTGTTGATAAATTCCAGTATAATAGTTAAATCCTTTCTCTGATCTTGGTTGCTGTCTAATTGACAAACATTTAACAAAACATCTCCTTTTATTCATATTAATGAAATAGTGTATTTCAAAATATAATTTTAGCCTAATTTACCTTTAGTGGGTATTTCACAGGAAATGAAATCTCCAGTTCAAACAGTTTCACATCATAGGGCTGAAAACAGATAAGATAGTATGTCTATTGTCATGTTACTACAATTGCATACCACTTAAATAAGCATTTGAATACACAGATATATATAAAGGTTTTTTTTATTTCAATAAACATGATAAACACTTTTAATGAATCTTGTCAAAGTTACTTGACCTTAACCCATGTCTTTCCAAATATTAAAGGTACATGTACATTGATTGTATTATGGAGCTATATTTACTCATGAGGTTTTCAAATTATTTTCCATTGACTTAATTGTAAAACCAGGTTTATCCAGATAAGTTTAAGTACTACGTCCCTATTTGATAATCTCCCTTATTCCAGGATGCTATTAGCAGCTAAATTGAACATTTCTGTGAAAAACACTGCTACATGTACACTGAATCCTGTGCAATGTTATATATTTTAGCATATGTATACAGTTTCCATTAAATACATTGTAGTTCTTGAGCTACTCATTACTCCCATTAGCATGACTAGTCAAAGGAGCACTATAAAAAAAAGTTGATTGTACAAAATGCACCTTTGTCCTTTATATTATCATGATTATAGCACATACAGCACAATAAAATTTGATATTTTACTTTTTTACATGTTTTAATAAAAGCTATTCCATTTACATATACATAGATATAAGAAGATGAGGTATGAGTGCCAATGAGACAACTCTCCATCCAAGTCACAATTTATAAAATTAAACATGTTTACTAGAATAAATAAAATGCTTCGCTGAGCACAGCCTGATACGACCGCAGAGGTCGAACCCTGAACAGTTGGGCCAAATTTGGACACAATATTCAAGCTTGATACTGTCTGAATTTGGATTGTGATCAAATTTTTGACATAATAAAGGTTTCTGACACAAATAAAATGTGGTCATAGATCTTAAAAATCTATTGCGCAATACTGTGCAATTGAAGATTTCTTCTTGAAACTTTTCAAAAAATTTGAAATTTGAAAAATTTTAAGAAAAAAATCCCCCCAATCTTTTTGAACCCCCCTTTTGAAGCAATTACTCCCCCCCCCCCTTTTGAAGCAATTACCCCCAAACTCTATCCCAGCCTTCCTTTTGTAGTATGGAACCATGTAGTACAATTTTAGAGAGATCCATACACTTAAACACAAGTTATTGTCTGGAAACAAGAAAAATGCTTGTTTTTGGCCCTTTTTTGGCCCCTTATTCTTGCATTTTTGGGGCAATTACCCCCAAACTTAATCCCAGCCTTCCCTTTGTGATATGGAACCTTGTGGTACAAGGTCAGTGAGATCCATACACTTACACACAAGTTATTGTCTAAAAACTACAAAAATGCTTGTTTTTGGCCCATAATTCCTGAACTGTTGGTACCAAAACCCCCAAAATCAATCCCAAACTTCCTTTTGTGGTATTGAACCTTCTTATTAAATTTCATAGAGATCCATTCACTAAAACTAAAAGTTATTATCCGGAAACCAAATATGTCTTCGGACGACGCAGACGACGACATTATACCATTATACGCACCCTAAAAAATTTTTGCGGTCATATAAAAATTACAGAAACTGATATACTATTATATCAAAAATATTGCTCTTTTTCACCTGTGAATATGTACATTTTTAGTACAAAGGTAACTCAAGTAAAATTGCAGTTGATTTCTTTGTTGTCTTACATTTACATTGTAAAACAGACAACCCATCTCAATTTTATCATAAACCCATCTAATAGTCTTACCCAATCAGGATCACTGGATGAAAAACTAAGCTGAAATACATCTTTGTCATCAACCTTTGGCAAAACTATCAATTTCTCTTTCGGGAACCTTTTCTTCAATTGTTGTAATTCAATACATCTAAGCTGATCAACTTCCTCATCAGAGGCGGATTCTCTAATCAATTCTCGAATAACATTTCCAGGTGGAATAGAAATGGTCGGCTTCAATATGATTTTCTCTGAAATTTTTGCATTATTGTCAATATCTAGTACTTTTTCTGGTGTATAAGTGGTGCTTGTTTTAGAGTTTTGTTTGACAAAGTCCTTCAAAATAGCATCTTCCTTGTCTTGATGTCTGTATCTGCAATCTTCTCCTTTCTTACAACTGCCAGCTTTGTAGAATTGGCAGATAGGTTTTCTCCTTCTTTTTGGTTTTACCTCTGGAGCATGAGACCTCTCTTGTTTTTCATTAGAAGCAGCAGTACCGTGTGGTGTGATTCTGCCCTCTTCCACCTGCACATGGTGCACTGGCTTAACCTGTTGACCTCCATCTGGGTGTACAAATCTGCACTTAGTTCCAAATTTGCAATTTCCATATTGATAGAAATAGTGACAAACCTTTAAATGTTTGTTAGCGTAGTCTTTCTGATTGAGAGTTACCTCCTCCTTTACTGATTCATTATGTTCTGTTGGTCGGATAAAATCTGGAGAAATGGTAGAACTGAAAGTTGAAGACGAATCTACAATTTCACTGCTTAGAATTCCATTTTTGTTCAGATTTTCTTGAGTAATATCTGGTGAAAAACTGTGCAAAAATCTACAACTAGTCCCAAACTTACAACCTCTAGACTTTTTGTAAAACTGACAAATAGCTTTAGAGGACTTTTGCATACTATGAGAACTACTGTTTGAAAGTTTAGCTGTCTTCTCAGACACCTTTAAATCTGTGTTCGATCCAACAAGAAGATGGACAACAGAAAACAGTTTTGCCTTGTTTTGTGGCTGAAAGCAAACCTGACTGGAGTTGTTAGTAGGAAACACTTTCACTGCTAAATTAAATTCTGAAAGTGAAAGACACTTCCAAATTATTGCTCGAACTACGGTAACTTTTACTTATTCTATAACGCAGGCTCACCAGAGACGCCCTCCACTCAACTGGTGATAAAGTTTGTGGTTCTGTCTTTAAATAGGTAAAACTGGGCCAGATAAACTAAATAAAGAAGTATGACGAAATTGTCTTGCACAACGAGTCGAAATTTAGAACAAGGTTATCTACTGGTTTATATCCTATACAGAAAATACGGAACTAGTAGTTATTGCTTTGTACAGATATGAATCTCCGTTCTATATCGGCGCACTCCAATATAGTATATTCTTTCTTTGTAGTAAATTCCTCCACTTTCTGGAGCACCAGATATATGCAAACAAAATTATAGAAAAAGTATACAAATTGCAGTTGATTAGTTGTTATTTTATAAAGTTTCAAATTTTGTAATTCATAATTGAAGAATTCATGTAAATGACTCTTGTTCTGCGTTATTTTAGTAATACACCTTATCGCTATTCCCGGCTGACCCGATAATCTGTCCCGCTTGAACTTTTGACGTCATACAACAATCACTTTTCCATTGTGGCGTCAGATATTTTGTATTGTGACGTCAAAATTTTACGGGAACCTGTGTGATGGCCAGTAATGGCGGACAAATAGCGATAAGGTGTATTAAAATGGGGACACAGACACTATAATGTATCAGATTTTTTTTTTATATAAAGGTATACAGGTAACAAAAATTTTAGACAAGTGCCTGTGTGACACATGTGCCACTTTTGTTTATTTGTTATTTCACAATTTGTGTACTTTATTACCTAAGGGCTGGGACATATGCCCGGCAGCTTATGGTCAAGCCCAGACCGAATTCTTCTGTCTCTATATAGCCTATATTTCCTGATCTTCATTTGTTTCTTTCAACTATTTTTTTGCGATATTGCACAAGCTAATGTTGTATAAATATTTCAGGACCTCCATAAAAACAAAATTTAAAATTTGAAAGTATAAATTTGTCAAAAATAGTTCATCTTCTTTCGGATGTAAAACAGGAGTCGAAGCCGACTGTTTAAATTCTGCTTGGCTACTAATGTCAAGCACACACAGATGTGGCATCCTAGTCTATTTACATCTAAACATTTGTTAGTTGTACAATTAAAACTATATACATGGGGTCTAGCCTGGCATCCTGCCCCAATCTAATACTTCGTCGAGCAGTGAGCCAGGATCCCAGCCTAACATGTGGTCCGGGCCGTCCCTGTCTAGTATATATAACTGGTACGTAAGGGGTTGCTTGCATTTTATTCATTTTAAACTTTATTAGTTCGCCAGATTCATTCTCAAGGGTTTTAATTAGATTATCATAATTTGAATCTGACAAGGACAAGGTATTGTCATCAGCATATATAATTATTAAGTGAATACTTTTTTATAACCAAAAATATGTCATTTATGAAAACATTCAATAGGAGAGGACCAAGTATGTCAAGTATTGACCATTGGGGTGCCCCCTTTCTAATGTTCTCCCAATTACTAAGGATGGAGCCAATTTTTTATACACTGGACGGCTAAAAATAGTTAGCGAAAAGAAAAACGGCAGAGTGACTAACTCAGAAAGCAGATAATTTAGCTAATAAAATTTCATGAGGAAGACAATCAAATGCTTAAAATTGACAGGTTCATTAAAATGGCTGCCACATACTCATTTGATCTAATGCCTTTTTCCAGTCCTCAATAACTTTATAAGCACTGTCTGACGTCACAATCCTTGTCCTTAAAACTTGGCATACAAAATTATTAAAAAAAAAAATTAAAAAGTCTGTAAACCGATTTTCTAGAGTTTTTTTTTTTAAACACTTTAGATATAATAGGAAGAATGCTTACTGGTTGTAGTTTTTTTTTCATCCAAGGGATTTAGATATAAGAAGATGTGGTATGAGTGCCAATGAGACAACTCTCCATCCAAGTCAAAATTTATAAAAGTAAACCATTATAGGTCACAGTACGGTCTTCAACACGGAGCCTTGGCTCACACCGAACAGTAAGCTATAAAGGGCCCCAAAATATTACTAGTGTAAAACCATTCAAACGGGAAAACCAACGGTCTAATCTATATAAAAAACGAGAAACGAGAAACACTTATGAACCACATCAACAAACGACAACTACTGAACATCAGATTCCTGACTTAGGACAGGTGCAAACAAATGCAGCGGGTTTAAACGTTTTAATGGTACCAAACCTTCACCCTTTTTCTGAAACAATAGTCACGGTAACATCACAACATAGAAAGACACACTATAAAATATCAACTGAAATAGCTTAACTCAATCAAAGGACATATTAACACCATTGAACATACACTGAACAAATAAATTTGACCTATGACACAATGTAAATACAAAATAAATAAACTAAGGGAAGAATAATAAAAGTAACATGTTATATCGGTAAGATCTGCCTTTTTAAACATAGGTGTGACTTGAGCCATTTTAAGTTTATTTGGATAAATATTTCTATCAATAATTATAACTCCCAATAATTACATTACATGTATGTTTCACATGTTAGGTCTATAATGGTTTACTTTTATAACGTATTATAATGAAACATACAGTTTAAATAATGTCAAATTATATTGCAACAAATGGCAACTCTCTTTAAATACAAACAAAACAAAATCCATGATTTTCAGTCAGTCCAAACAAAATGGTGAAACATCACATATTTACTATGAGAATGAAGCCATAGAGAGCGTATCAGAATATTCATTTTTGGGAATGTTGATAAAATGTAATGGAAATTTATCACAAAGTACCTTAGAGCTGACAAAAAAGGCAAAAAAAGTATTTTTTGCAATAAAATCCTATACTAAATCATTGAATAATCTACCTATAAAAGTAGCAAATAACCTTTTTGATTCTTTAGTAAAACCAATTATGACCTATAATTCAGAAGTAACATATTTGGATACATATATTTCTTTTCATAGAGCCAAAAACAGAGCCTTATCTTCAGGAAAACAAATTAATCAACTTGATTTTACAGACAAAACCCCTATTGAAAATATGCATCTTAAATTTTGTAAATCTACTCTAGGAATAAGAAAAAATGCATCCAATTTAGGGGCAAGAGTTGAATTAGGAAGATTGCCTATAGAATGTTTTATTAAAACACAAACCCTTTTATATTTAGCTAGACTATATAATGATAATATTAATCCATTGATAAAGGAAGCTTTTTCTCTAGCACAGTCTCTAGATTTGACTGGAACTTATTCATGGTATACATATGCAAAGAATATTGTTGAAGAGACTAATATTGACCTTAATATTTTTTCTAATTGTAAGGACATAAAAGATGTAAATAAAATAAAAAACGATATAAAGTTAAAAATGAAAAATAGATATGAAGATTTAATTGAAACTAAATTTGAAAACATTGATGATAAAAGTAAATTTTATCTATATAAAAAACTTAAAAAGGATTGCAAACTAGAATCTTATCTAAATATATCTAATTTTCAGATAAGGCGATTGATCACTAAATTTAGACTAAGTGATCACTCCCTCTTAATTGAAAAGGGGAGATATTTTAAAATCCCAAGAGAGGAACGACTTTGTCATAAATGTAAAATACTAGAGGATGAGAAACATTTTTTACTCTATTGTGATTATAATAAAACACTAAGAAATGCCTTTTTTGAACACATATGTACTGAAAATAATAACTTTAATAATTTAAATGAAGAAGAAAAAATTCATTATTTACTAAATCCATCAACGCCTTTACAAACAAATAAGTTAGGATCCTTCTTGAAAAAGTCATTAGAACTGAGGGCAGGGGACTCTTAACAACTTGTTTGTTTTTATAAATTTTGATGCTGTTTTTATTATGTTTGTTTGATATGTATGTATATATGTTTATTGTGTTAATACATGTTGGTCACAAACTGTAAAGTTTATAAGACAATAAAATATTTGATTTGATTTGATTTGTTATTTTGATTGACTAATAGCAATCTCGCGTCATTCTGAAATTAATCTTCATTTCAACATGAAATGTAATATTCATGCGATGACACGAGCTTCCACAATAAAGTGCACAGGTAAACAAAAGAAAAACTTGAAAGAAATCGTGTTTTCATGATCCTAGCAAAAAATGTAATTATAAGTATTGAATGCTTCTTTTAGTAATTTTATAGCGTTGTGAAAGCGTTGACCGTGCGCACATTTTTAGAATGAAGCACTTGGGATCCGCGCTTCATACAAAATGTACTTCGGTCAACGCTTTTACATCCCAATAAATTTACAAAAAGAAGCATCAATTCTTAAATAACTCCAAAACAGGTGGTTAAATTTTCAGATTAGGTAGATCTTGTTATGTTGATCATTTTTGCAGTTTATACTTTTAACTTAGCTCTTATAGTTTCCAAAAACGACAAAGGTTTGACATTTCAGGGGCAATATCTTGAAAAGTTAACAGACTTTTCTCTAATTTTCACGGTAGATACATCTAGCTAGTCATGCTGATCCTTTTTGCAAATTAAATTTTTAACCTAGCTTCTTTAGTCCAACAACTGCTAAAAATTGGAAGAAAAAAGTCGATATATCAGGGGCAATTGCTCCAAAAAAAGTAGATAGTTTTTTTTCCCCAATTTTCAGGATGGATACGTCTTGCCGAGCTGAACTTTTTGCAATTTACACTTTTAACCTAGCTATAGTTTTAATGATAATAGTCAAAACCTGGAAATTGGTAAAAACTTGCATTTCAGGGGCCATAACTCCATTATGGTTCTTTTCAGGTAGATAAAAATTGTCATAATGATTTTTTTGCATTTTCTCTCTTAACATAGCTTCTTAAGTTTTAGAAATAATGACCAATTCAAGAAATGCCAAATCAACATTTTAGGGGTAATAACTATAAAACAGGAGAACAAAATTTCATAAAATTTTCAGGATAAATAGAGCTTGTTGTGCTGAACATTTTTACCCTGTCAAATTTTCTCTTATCTCATTTTTGAGATATTAGCTAAACTTGGAGTTTGACCCCTGTGTTAATTTTTTAACCACCGTGGCCATATGCATGTTGGTTGATCAACTTGGACAAAAATCTTAAACTTTATAGTCGACATCCTATAAATGATGCAAACAAAATTTGCTTTCAAACTATTGAGCAGTTTTAGAGGAGAACATTTTCATAGAAAAGTTTAGGGACACTAGAAAGAAGAT